AGGCATAAAAAATACTTGTAACTTGCAATTATTATTTTCAATACTGAACTTCATAACGAAAATTTATGCTCAACAAAGACATGAGACAAATGGTCAAAAATATTTAATATTTTTGTTTTGTTTTTGTTTAACTTTTTTTAAATCTGAATTACACTTAACTAAAATGGGGAAAAGAAGCACTGAATAACTGAATTCTAGTAAAGTAGCATTAAATCACTGGATCCTAGAAAAGTAACACTGAATTACTGAATTTTAAATGCTACTTTACTAAAATTCAGTTATTCAGTGCTTCTTTTCCCCAGTGATTTAATGCTACTTTACTAGAATTCAGTTATTCAGTGCTTCTTTTCCCCATTTTAAACGTAAATTTTTGCTATGCAAACATGGGACATGTTAATTATTTAGTACAAAAGAAATAATTGTCAATACTGATACATAAAAAAAAAAGATGTTTTGTTTTTTATTTTAAGATTTATTGACTTAATTAAAGTGAAGCTTAACTTCTTTGCAAATGACAAACAAGTTTCTTATGTAAAATGTATCTTTAAGAATTTAACCTGTATTTATAATTTTGCTTTACTAATTTTTTTCTTTTGGACTACACATAAACAAAGATTTAACAGGGAAGTCAGTTTTAATAATAAATTAGTAAACGTAAATTTTTGCTATGCAAACATGGGACATGTTAATTATTTAGTACAAAAGAAATAATTGTCAATACTGATACATAAAAAAAAAAGATGTTTTGTTTTTTATTTTAAGATTTATTGACTTAATTAAAGTGAAGCTTAACTTCTTGCAAATGACAAACAAGTTTTTATGTAAAAGTATCTTTAAGAATTTAACCTGTATTTATAATTTTGCTTTACTAATTTTTTCTTTGAACTACACATAAACAAAGATTTAACAGGGAAGTCAGTTTTAATAATAAATTAGTAAACGTAAATTTTTGCTATGCAAACATGGGACATGTTAATTATTTAGTACAAAAGAAATAATTGTCAATACTGATACATAAAAAAAAAAAAGATGTTTTGTTTTTTATTTCTAAGATTTATTGACTTAATTAAAGTGAAGCTTAACTTCTTTGCAAATGACAAACAAGTTTCTTATGTAAAATGTATCTTTAAGAATTAAACACAGCACAAAAATGAAAATGAAATTATTACAAAAAATAGTACACTAAATTTTAAAAAAAATATCATCAGGCAAAATTATCATTAGGCAATAAAATAGAACCAAAAAATTCAAATAAAAATAGAAAAAAAAGCATCCTTACACCTGAAGTAATAATCACTGACTGAAACCTTTGAAAAACTGGTCTGATAGCCACTGAAGCATCCATACAACTGAAATGCAGAATTGGATTTGGCACAGAAGGTGTTCTGTCATCAAACGGTTCAATTATTATAGTAAAACCTAAAAAATAGCAAAAGTAAAAGATACCATAAATAAATAAATTTGAAAATTTAAGAAAAGGAATTATAGCCTTGACAAAGTAGCAAAAATAAATATGAAATTTATGACAACAATTTTCAATTCATAATTTACAGATATCTTACAAGGAAGGGAAAAGCAGTTTAATTATAGATTTTTCTTCCACATTATAAAACTCTTTGAAAGACATTTATTGTCATCACTATTCTTTTGTCAATTAATTTCCTACTTAAATTACTAAAGCAATTAATATTCATAATTTTTTGCAGATCCGTCCAAGAATATTTAGATAATTTTTGTACATATAACTACCATTTCAGTACCTCAGAGATAATACAGTTCTTTATAACTGGAAGCAAGGACACTAAGAAGAAGCATCAAAAGTGAGAAAGAAGTGATCAGAATTTCAAAGATGAAAGCCCCACTGACATTTTTATATCTCAAAGTAAAAAAAAAAAAAAAAGAAAAAAAAAAAGGTGTAGGATATTAAGAATGTGCAAGAATTCACCACAATTTCAACGATCAAAGCAAGATCCAATGAAAATCACAATAACAACCTTGTATTTGGCGTACATATGTTAAAACACTCAATCGATTTCGAGGGCAGCTGAAGGTCGCTCCTCATCAGGAGAATGAAATTACTAGAAAAGGGAAAAAAGAAGAAAAAATAAAGCATTGGCAAAGGAGTCGCAGAAACGTGGTCGTTATCAGCACTGCATGTGGTCATAACCGGATTTTGAATCAGACTTACACTGGCCGCCTACTTTTACTGAGCCAGGCTATCTCATCAAACAATGAACACATAGACTAAAATGCAAAGAAAATCAGCGAAGTCAAAAAATAGGGAGCGAGGGGCAACTGCACCTTCATACACCAACTATGAATCTCAAATAGAAACTCTCTATTCCAAGATCCACTGGTTTAAATTGAAATTTTCATTGCATCACATGCACAAAGAATAAAACTATTTAAGTAAGCATTATTACCGTAATTTCCGGAAGAAACGCCGCAGCGTTTACGTGTTTAAAACTTTAATTTTCAGCGGGTGCGGCGTTTAGGTGCACTAAAAATAAAATATTTCCTATGATGGTCATTGTACATAGTTTGGATGGCTTGTCATGTGCAGGATGGTGCTGTTCCCACAAAAAGACCACTCAGTTGCTTTTTGCGAACGTATTTTTGTTACGTTCTTTCCCTTGAAGGGACCAACATGCCTTATTCACCCTAAACGAGATCTCAGAACAATAACATTCTTCCCCTTTCAAATCAACATTCTCATTCATATTTCCCCTTCAGCATGAATGGATTTTTCTTGGCATCCTGCCAAATACAGATCCCATCAGTTAGGGTACAAGTACTTGTTGGATAGTTTTTAATTAGGGAGAGGAAAATTTTTGAAAATGTCTCTAAACAGCACAGAAGCTATACATTTCTTACCTTTAATTTATTTTTGAGTTATGGTTTCATTTCATGCATTTTCTTACTGGAGTCATATATCAGGACTTAGGTTGAGTTTTGATCATACGGCCCACGACGATGTCACGCGCAATTTAATCTATTGCGGCGTTTACGCTAATGCGGCGTTTCTGTGTAATTTTAATTTTTTTCCCGCCAATTTTCTCGAGTGCGCCATTTACGCTGATGCGGCCTTTGTTCCAGAAATTACGGTACTTAGTTTTTGCTCCTAGCAAGCTCATTTATCTTCTTAAAATTCAATAAAGTCAAAAGTCTTTAATCCGGAATAATCTATAATCCGGACCTCAAAGCTACAAACTCTCTGCGCATGCGTAAACACATATGCATTAACGTATGTGCGTGCGTTAATGCATATGTGTTTACACATGCGTTACTCTTTTACACACTTCCCAGCAATGCTTGTTTCAGCACTCTTTCGAAGCTCTATTCATTAAGTGCACCCGCTTTAGGCACACCCAGAGAATTAAAACAATAAGTGCTATCTTCACAAAATTTTATCTGTGTACTCCTCTAGGCCTGATTAAACTGCCTACCTTTTTTTTTTTTTTTTTTTTCAAAATTCCAACTTTAAAATGTAGCGTGCCGGAAAGGGTTAAATACATTTGATCTTATAGGTGTATTACATTTCAACAAAAATATGATGAATAAAACATCAAGATTTACCCTATAATTTTTAACTATTAAGTAACAAAATAAGTGAAAAAAGTTTAAACAGAATGTCACTTACCTTTCATGTATGTACTCACAAGTGTAGCAAAATTACACAAAGCTGTTAATGATGACATGTCATTAAGTTCAGTAATTTCAAGTGTTCGGACTAAAGATCGCAATCTTTCAGCACAAAACCTAGACATTAAAAATATAAGTTAATAAAAATAGAATTATTAAAGCTATAAAAAATTAATGCAACAGTAGTAACGAGAGTTAAATGGGCGATGGTAGTGACATCACAGAAAAAGGACGTGGTCGCCGCTATCTTGGATTTGGCCAGAAGCGACATAATGAGTTGGAATGATGTCATGCAGGATAGTTTTATTTTGAGGCAATGAGATAATATTTTTTAAAGTTTTTTTGTTTTTGTGGCAACAATGTCTTGAACCATGAGTTTTGAAATGACATCAGTTTTAATTCAGTATTTTTAAGTATTTAATTTAACATTATTTCTAATTAAATCTACCGTTACTTTTTAATTATTTCTCTTTTTTAATTACTTTTAATAATTTAATATGTGACCCCTATTTTAATATTTAGTATGCCAGTATTTTAATTATTTAATCTTTTTAATTAATTCTATTATTTAATGTAATACTGCTTAATGAATAAATTTTATAAGGCAAAATTATGATGAGACACACACTTAAAATGTGATGTGACAAATTACATATGAGACACACACTTTACCCTAAGGCCATGGTTCTGTTCTTTGACTTTGTCCTCTTTATCCAGTGGAAACCAATGTCATAGCATGATCTCCGTTCTGCAGGGCTTAAGCTTCACGCATGTGCAGTGATATGCTTCGCTAGCATAATAGGCTGGCTTCTGCTATACACTATTCATGATGTATCATAAGATTGCCGATGAAAGACACGTTGTTCCACTAAATATTGTCATCCTACGAAGTTAACCCTGACTTACCAGTTTACTTGTGTCTTATATTTAATAGGATTATTATGGAAGAAAATTTTTTATGTTTGTAATGTTTGAAGTCCTATTCATTCCGACAAAATCTACGGGTGCATATTATTAAGTGCCATCCTTTGAAAGAGGAATTAGCTCCTACATTAACCTCCTCACAAATTTGCATGTGATGATTGTGAGGATGTTTTTTCAAAACAAAACCTGCTTCGTGCACATGAACACACAGAACATGGTAAAAATGTCACACCTGAAAAAATAAGTTTTATAATAGAAAATAATGGAACTATTAATATCAATACAACTCTACAAGAATTTACAACATTTTGATTGATGCCTTTCTTTTACTGAGCTATGGGAAAACAGTTTTGGTGAGGTGGAATATACATACATACAACATATGGAACATATAGACATACAACAAATGGAAAAATAAACAAGAAATAGGTATAATTCCTTTGGTGAAAATTTTAAAAAGGGAAAAGAATTACAAGGCAGGTAAATAATGGATAAGTTTGAGCAATTTGAAATATGAATTGATATTGGTCCTGTCAAAAGGCATAACAAGATACAAAATATGCACATATATAAGAGGAGATATATATATAATATAATAAAATAAGCATGGATACAATATATAATACAAGTGCTGAGTAATAATGCAGGTAACAGTAAGAAAACATCAATCAATATTTACATTAAGTATGGCCATAGGGCGTTTGCAGTTATCAGGATCATTAATGTCATAATTACATATTTTAATGGCAGGGTTTTGACTATTTCTTTGGTTTTCAAAAAAATTCCTTGCTAATTTACAATATATAATTTTAAGCTGGTCCATTTTGAGCTCAGAATGGATACAGTTATTACAAATGTACCAGGGTGAGTTTGAAATTTGATGTAACATACAATTTTGGGCTATTTGGAGCCTCTTTCTATCCGATTTGCAAGAATTGGATCTGTAAATGAGTAACTTGTTGTCCATAGATAAAACACTGATTCGAGCAATTAAGGGGAATAGTGTTATTTCACAAGCCCGAAAGTTCTGTAAGAGAGATGCTATGTGAGGGGTCTATGTGAGAGAATTACTGAGGATCACTCAGAGATAAGGGACCTTCTTAGCCCAGGGGATAGATGCTCCGTTGAACTGCAAGTTTTTATTAATTTTCTATTTCTTGGTAAACAAGATGGCATGGCCAATCGAGGAAGGTGGCCATACTGAAAAAAATGTGTATTGTGCGTGCGTGAAGCATAAGCCTAGCAGAACGGAGACGCTATTCAATGTCACTAGGCTGGAGGATTGCGCATACACGAGCTTGTTCTGATGTGCCGAAACCACTTTACATCTTTGTCCTTCTGCGAAGGTGAATAAATACAGTCCCTGAGGGACCAATCAGATTCATGCTAACAATACTCCTCTTGTTTCAACCAATCAGCGTCTTTTTTTTTTTCTTGAAGTGGGCATATTTTTATTCTGGTTTAGTAAATCATGACTTTAAATTTATTCTTTGCTGTTTTAAATACAAGATTTTCCCACATTTCAAATTTCTCCTTTTTATTTTACAAACATTTTTTATTTTATTTGTTCTTCTCATTCTTAATAAATTTAATTTATTAATTTTCATGTCCTATTTACACATTTTTGAAAAAATTAATTTTGCTTTTAATTTTGCTTTCTACTATTTTTTTTTTTATTATTATTATTATTATTGCAAAAGTTTTCTTCCATTTTTTTTCCTTAAAATTTATTATTTATTTATTTATTTTTTTTTTAAAATAAGAGCAACATTTATTTTCACAAGTTTGTATATGCATAACTTGTCCATTTTTGGACATATTAGTAATTATTTACATATTTTAATGTTTCAATGCTATTTTGGATTTTTTGCATGCACTGAATGTTTTACAACAGGAAAACACTGGCTTTGCTATCCGATATTTTCGAGTTTCTGTAACTAGAACTGTAGCCATGAGTGCCCCTCTGTTGCCATTCGCAGGATTTTGAGCACATACCTCTAAATAACTATCTATATTTGCAATCTCATCTCAATCGGATGCTAAAAGTGCAGCTGTTGGCAAAATTTCTTTATGATCACCCTGTATATACACACACATATATATATATATAATGTAGGAAAGGCAAACTAACTAAACTTAAAAGGACCTGTGAGGTCAAGAATTTTGCACACTGAGCTGCAAAATTTGAAATAAAATTAAAAAGTAAATTTTTCAAGCTATAGCCGATGAGTTAAAGTGATACTTCAGTTCCTTTGCAAAATAGTACGTATATAAACACAAAGTAAAGATCCAATTGTAATTCAAAATGTAAAAACACAATATGTATGAAATACTAATTAAGAAAAATAGAAAATTATGACATACTACAATATTACTTTATTCGGTGATTTGATGAAAGGCAATAAGTTTTAAATTTTGTCAATTGCTAATAATTTAAAAACCATGAGTGAAAGTGATGCATTGATTTACTATTTCCACATAAAATATTAATTCAAAGAAAAATTATTGTACTTAAAAATACAAATTATTTTTCAGTTGAAGTCTTAAATTCATAACATGATTTCTTTGTGCTTAGATGTTTGCTGCAGCTGTATAAAATTACTCAAGACCAAGTATTTTGTTAATTATATCTCTGGTTCATCATCTGTTGGAATTGCCTGAAAAATGATTGATGGTTTCATGAGATTATCTCCTACTGATCAAAGATCTGAAGACAATCTTGTCTAAACTATACCAAATAATGCTAGACATGGACAAGTGTGATTAAAGAGTTTGAACACAATGTGACCATAAAGTCAACTTGCAGGAAATTGCATATTGGTATCTTTTCAAGTGAAACAGATACTAAAGTTATATCATGATTTTATTTGACTATTTCATCCCGTGATCTGCTAGTTTCTTAAGTTTCTATATCTGCTAGTTCCTATAAGTTTTGTACTTTCATGATATCTCTACTTCAGAACAACATCATTCATAATACATACGAGTATATACAGTGAAGAGTCAAAACATTATAAATAGCTACTTAATAACACATCGCATGATCTTTGGCTTGCAAGCCACTTGCCTTGGCATATGTGCCACAAGTTTTGACAAGTATATGACTGGAGACAGGTTATACCAAATGTCATGCAAAGTTGAGATATTCTGACATGATAGTGTTTGAGCACTGAGCTGCTGCTCCATGACATTCCAAATGTGCTCTATTGGATTAAAATCCAGCAAGTTTGGTGGCCAGGACATTAATTAGAATTCATCCTTATGCTCCTCGAACCACTCCAATAGAATTTAGTTTAAAAGTTATGCGTCCTCCCACCAGAAAAAAAAAAAGTGCATATTAACAGACACAATATGGTGAGCTGAATATTGCTGAGAGAACAATACTAGAATGAAACATTTATCTGCAGGAAGTTGGTACTCATAAGGTTCCAAACAGAGTTTCTCATAAAATCAGAAGGCCTAGGAAAATAGTAGAAATCGTTAAAAACTTTTTTAAAAAGAATAAAAATGCAGTAGGTTTAATACAGATTGCTTATCAAATAAAGATGCATTAGTTCTTTTCAGATTCCAAAGATATGATAAGCAAGATCTCTATAACTTTGATGGTTCAATGGTAACCAAGTTTCATGGTGATAGGGTAATACGTAAGTACCTTCTTTTTTTAAATGAAGTTACACAATTACACATAAATATTACCTCAGAGGCTTCCTTTCAATTAGAACTTTTTGTAGAATATCTTTCAGGAATGCTGCTGGGCTTTCTTGAACAACATGTTGAATCCTAAGCCTCATTTTAACATATTCCAGAAATCTTTTTAAAAATGCTATGAAATGCTCTGCACTTCTTATATTACCAGGAACAGCTTCTATATATCAAAAATGTATGCATATATCAGTACTAAATAACTTTCAATAAACTTCTTATATTTGATTACTTCTACAAAAAAAAAAAAAAAAAAAAAGGAATAGAGTCTGAAAATTTAAAAAAAAAAAAAAGTTTTTAATAATCAATAAATTTAACATAAAAACAAAGTAAAATTTAGTAATATACCATAAAGCAACATTATAAGATAATGAAGTTTGTTCTAGATTTCTGATAATCAGTTGTACAGAAACTTCATATGCTTACCATTCAATATTTCATCTGGAAGAACTGAAAACAGATAAAATGTAAAATTAATTACATCTTCATTTATTTTAAGAAATTAGAATACAGAAATAAAATTTTCTAATTTTGTAATTACCAGGATTTGACAGCACAATATCAGTTTCTCTAGCTATGCCAGCATCTCTTAATCCTTCAACCATTCGTTGATATTCTTCTTTCAGCTTTTTGGCATCTGTTTCTTTTATCCTACATTATAAGTAATTAGTATAAATTTATTCATAAGATAAATGAATTAATTACATTGATTACAACGAAATATTCAACAAGTTTTCATAATTTTTTAATATTCTAGCTAAGCCAACTCCATGAAAATGTTTTCTTTGCAATTGCAAGTAACATACATAATCTACAATAACAATATAAAATAATATAAATAAATATGTAAAATGTTGTGAATACATGTAAAATATACAAATAACAAAGCTATGTTACTCACTATTTATTTTAATATAACTAAGCAAAGAAATATTTAGCATGAAATAATGGTTCAAAATTTCACAAGGGAAAAATCACACATTTTGAAAAAACTAAATCTCTTCAGAAGAAAAATAAAAAATTTCACAAGGGAAAAATCACACATTTTGAAAAAACTAAATCTCTTCAGAAGAAAAATAAAAGACTTCTGCTTTTTTATCATCCATCATCATGTGAATCACATAAGAAAAATTAACATATTAGATCCTCAAAAATTTCTTATTCTTTATACTGTGTAGCACTTTTTTTTCCCTTTCTTTTTCAAATGCAGTCAGCTTTAAAACCTTAGAACAATCTTACATAATATTTCTGCACAGCTAATGTTTCTCCCACTCTATTTTTCTTAATATTTCTCAGGAAGAAATATTATTCCATATTTTTCAAAATTACTCGAGAAATTTATTGATAATATTACAAATAATATAAAAAATTAAATGTGGTGGTAGTAAAAATAATTTTAAAAGATTCATATTTATATTTACAGCAGACTCTACTATAACACATATTCACATAAGATGGATTCGCATAATATGGCAGAAAAATGTAGTTATACAACATGGTAAAAGAATGAGACAGATGTAATTTTATTGTTTTAGCTCACATAATAATATAACTTTTGGCTGGTTATTAAAATGGCAATTCAGAGTTATCTCGAGAAACATGTTACCTTAGAGATCGGCTCGTGAAGATAAGAGTGAAAATTTTATTTTTAGATATAATATGAAAAAAAAGAGAACACAAGAAATTAACTAAAGAGAGAGGAGCAAAGATTTTCTGAAGTGACATACAGAAAAGTAAAGACCCTTTTTAATATGACAATCCCTGCCATGAAGAAGATTCTAAGAGCAGAAAATGTATATCCCTAGGAAAAAAAATTAAAATGTTGGATAGGTTAAAATCTGGTAAGAAAGTAATAGTCATTTAAAAGACTTAAAATTACATGAAGCAACAATTTGAACAATAAAAAGAAATGAAAACAAAATAACAGCTAGACTTTCCTTTGGATCTTTATTAAGTTTGAATAAAAATGCTCGTAAAAAAGACACTTTAATGCCTAAAATAGAAATGTGTTTGATATTATGGATAGAAGATTCAAGAAACTTTTCTTTGAGTAGTAATGTGATAAAGCAAAAGACAACAAAGATTTACCATCATGTAAAAGAGCTTGAATCTGTTTCTTTTAATGAATCATATTGATGTGAATTTGAATGAAGCCAGTAAAGGTTGGTTTAACAGATTTAGGAATTGATTTTCCTAGTGCAATGTCAAAATTATGAAAGAAAGCACATCAACCAACATAGAAGCAGCTCAGGGATTCTGAGGAAATTTTCGCAAAATTGTAGAAGATGAAAATTACACTGCAGATCAGGTATATAACACTGATAAAACCACATTATATTGGAAGCAAATACCTGAACGCACTTACATCTAAAAAAATTAAAAGTCTGCTTTGGGATTTAAGGTTTCCAAGGATAGGATCACTGTACTTTTACGTTCAAATGTATCTGGGGAGAGCATTACAAAGACCATGTTTATTAACCATTCATTAAACCCAAAAGCAATGAAAGGGGTTGCAAGTCAGTGTTTTCTGTTTGCTGGTGAGCAAATAAAAAGGCATTGGCAACAAGTGCCTTATTTCATGATTAGTTTTACAATTGTTTTGTGCCAAAAGTGGAAGATTATTCAAAAAGAAAAAATATTAGTTTCAAGGCTTTGTTATTGATCAATAGCATGCCAGCACACCCAGAAGATTTAAATCATCTGGCTATTAAATTAATATTTTCACCACCCAGTATGACATCAATCCTACAACCATAAAACCATAGAATGATTAAATCACTGTACATACCATACACATCTGAACCATTTTAGAAAATATTGATTGTAATCCAAATACTACTATTACAGTAACAGACTTGTGGAATGTTTTTTTTTTTTTTTTTTCCCAATTTTAAGTAGCATTGAAATTATTTTATCCTGGCTAAACTAAACTAAAGGAACTAAAATCTTCGGCTCTGAATGCCTGTTGGGAAAAATTACAGCCTGTAGTTGTAACTAAAAGAAGCAGTTTAACGTGCACGACAACAGAAGTAAATCGCATAATAAATATTACTCAGACTTTAGGTAGAGAGGGATTTATTGACATGAACGAGCAAGATGTTATTGAATTAATTAATAACAGTAACCAACACTTAGATGAATAAAAACTTATGCAGCTATAAGAATCGTTCAAATCAAGCAGTGAAGAAAACTCATTACAAATTTTCTGTGAATCAGAACAACACTTACTTTAGAAATCTTAAATAAAGGATTAGAATTGCAAAAAATCTAGAACATTTTAAGGGTAATGTGTCAACAAAGTGCTCCTCCGTATTTTGAAATAAAAGAAGATTTAGAAAGTAACAATAATAAACTGTTGAAAGCACAAGAAGATACCCTGGAAATAACAGGGATGAAACAAGTGAATTTTCAAGTTATGAAACAGAACAACCAACGTTTATAAAAGACTGTCTTTGAACCTAATTATGAATAGCTTTGACACTGGATAAATGTCCAAAAAAAATTGTAACTGCTTCTTTTACATAACACAAAATGAAAAAAACATTTTTAATTTCAATATGTGTTTGTTTTGAAGAGAAATGAAAAATTTTTAACTCTTACATATTAAATATTTGTTTTACATCTTTTTTAAGTAGTACCTGTATAAGTGTATATTTATGCATAAGTACACTGTGTATGGGCCCCTCACTTGTCAAGTCCGTAAAAGAAAAGAAAAAGTAGAAAATATATATTGATAATTGTTTAAACATTTCTTGAGGGAAAAACATTTACTATTCAACAGCCATAAAAATTATTGTCATACAGTGTCTTAAACCTGATTATTAAAGAAATTTATTTAAATATAACAAGTAAGATAATCACTTTGGGCTGTGAACTGCTCATGTATTTGTATAATATCAGCGACTTGCACAATATGGATTCATATAACACGGAATATATGTACCGTGTAATAAAGAGGAGTCTAATGTACTTGGTTTTAATTTTTTTCATTAAATAAAAATTAAAGTAATGTAATACTGAATTAGTACTTACAAAAATATGAAGTTGCCTTTTTATTTTAGGATAGTGTTTAGAAAAAATGGTGAATCTAAGTTGATCTGACCATTCAAGTTCAATCTTTGGTGATAATATCATCAGTAATAAAAAAATGATATTCATTTTAGTTCAAACAGGTTAACTGAAGACAGCACAAAATTCTCAGAAGTTTGAAATTGCTGTACTTATCAAAAGTATTGCATACAGTTATATAAAATAAGGGATATTGTCAAAGCTATCATAGTTGTGTTCTTTATTATTTCTTTTAAGTTACACAAACAATGTAGAAATAACAATTTTTTTCATACATTATTCTAGCACAACTTTCGTTACTGTGTTTACAAAAGAAACAGTATGATTTTTAAGATTATGTAGGTTTGTATGCAAACATGGCATAAAAACACCACTGAATATTAACTAAAAGAAAAAAGTCACATGGAATAAAAAATGAAAAGCCAGAAACTTAACTTTCCTATCTAATCATGTTAAGTGCAAGTGAGATCACACTGCTACTTAATGAATAGTATTCTACATCAACATTTTTGTGACAATTTAAAAACTGGGTATTTCTTTTTTCATTTGATGCATATCAAATTAATACATTTTTCATAGATCCCAGTTTATACTCACCTGAAAATGGGATAATCATTTTGATTACATATACAAAAATTAGCATAATTATAATAATAGAAACTATCCAAATATTAATCTAAAAAAAAAGTATTTCACCTATTGACAGTTTTTTCAAGTATTTGAATTCCATTCTGACTTCTTTCAATAGTCCTTCGTGTGATATCAACACTCATAGAGTCAATACAAACACTATCTGTTCAAAAAAACAAAACAAAATTTTAAAAAACTTTAAATTTACCACTTTATTACGGCATTTGCAATACATGTTGTATGTTTGAAGAAGTATAAAAAAAAAGTTGTGAAAGCTTAGTTTTGTAAATAATAAGAAACTGGGCTTTTTATACTTAACCAATATTATGGGCTTCATCAAAGACAACTACTGATTGTTTGGAAATTTCTTTGGATACAAGATCAGCAATTTTGGGATCTAATAAATAGTGATAACTGTACACAACAATAGTGGCTTGCGTTATCTATATGAAAAAAGATTTCAGACCTAATATAGAATGACAGTATACAATTTATGCAGTATTTTATAGACATCTTCAAGTACATAATTAGATTATAAATAATAATCATGTTGTATAAAACTTCATGAAAATAACTCCCACTAATCGAAATATGATATAACAGTCATGATTTTTATAAAAAATAAAAATATACTAATCTATACTTATACTAGTGCTGTGCAGAAATTAAAGAACTCATGAAAAATTTCTACTGAAGCTTGGTATTTGTGGAGTTAAAGCAGTAAAATATATTATTAAATCTACAAACTTTAACCTAATAAGACATAACCTAATAATAACATTAATTATTAAATTAACATAATAACCTAATAATAACATTTTTATTTTATTACTAATTTATTTTGTTTTAAGTATACAGTATACAATATCAAGAATACAATACAAGTATACAATATCAACATGCATGATTACTAAATTGCAAGAACAGTGAACAAAAAGTACGCTTTAGCAGATGATGCTGGAAATGATCACCTCATTCTTCAAAACACAAATGCACATGCCACATATTTATCTCATCACTTTATACAAAATGCTGATAGGGATATCCACCATGTTGTTCTGCAGATCTTTCAGTTTCTAATGCACTTCTAACAAAAATCTTCCTTTTTGAAACTCGTGGTGCACACTTTTTCCTTCCCACCTCTAGTTCACTGTATTTGATATTCCATTTGGTAATATTGCATTACTATCTCATCACAGAGCAAACACATTTATGCTAATAATTGCACCCAAAAATATTTTCCATTGTTAAAGTAAAATAACATTTAAAATGAAAGTTTGAAGACTTGCGAGCAGTATAACTTCTCATAAGATCTTCATACATATTTATCAACTTAGCAAAATGTATTAAAGCTTTATTCGGAGGCAGATTTCTGAATTGTCACTGAGAATATACATATATTAAAAAAATACACATCAGATATTTTGAAAAAAAAAATAGTACTTCATAATTGGTTATCTATATATTACTGATCAGTTACTAAACTGACATTCATATTAGACTTGATTATTTGGCATGTTTAGCACATTTACCTGCAGGACCATTACTTACCACAAAGACATTTACTTTACTATTACAAACTTTAAAGATTTTAATTAATTAATTTAATTTAAGAGATTTACAGATCACCCACATTTCTAAACCAAAAATACATCCTTCTCCTTTCAATAGTACGAGTAATTTAAAATCCCTTTTTACTTTAAAAACATAAAATACAATTTTCAGTTAAATCAGTTGATTTTTGCAAAAAGCTTTAATTTAAATTCTTGAAAAGCATAAATAATACTTCAATAAAAAAATCTTGAAAAGTACAGAACACTGTAATTTTTTTTAATTTTGCAGATACAGTTATATAATAGTAATAAAATTTTCCAAAATCAATAATGATAATGGACAGGTGAAGACACTTTAATCGTAGATGATTGATTGTGGATGCACATAAGAATAATAAAACACAAATATTAAGATTTATAACTAAATAATATTATCATTTGCAAATGCTTCAGAATGAGCAAAACTGAAAGAAAAAACTGCTATTTCACAAACTTTGTCTGTTGATTTTTAATATACTTCAACTACATTCACAGTTTATAATTGTTAAATTCATCACCAAATATAGTTTTATAATAACAATTACATATGATTTCTGGGTATTTACGTACTATCGCAACCATCTTAGTAGAAGTAGCCAAATTTTCAGAACGAGCAAAACTCTGGCAACCATGCTTATAATAATCATTTCAGTCAAGCAATGCTGCCATTTTTGTATGCATTCAATTTTGTTGTAGTCCAAGTTCCAATGTTTTTTATACACAAATCGTGATATTTTTTGCCTTAAACTTAGTTTTAAAATACGAGCTTGCAGAATTTGCCAGCAATGGAAGAAATTACAGAAAAATTTTGGCAGTAATACAGAATTTTCTAAATGGAACAATGAGGAAATGTGCTTTCTAGATTGCCTCTGCTGCCAAAGATTGCACAAAGCCAAGTCTCCGCAATTCTTCTTCTTTTCTTTTCTTTTTTTTTTTTTTTTTTTTTTCTTTTTTTTTTTTTTTCCTTTTCTTTTCTTTCCTTTCTTCCCCCCCCCCTTTTTAGTGAAAACAGATTGCTGTGTACTTTAGGAGATGAATAACGAACAAAAGAAAAAAAAAGAAAAAGAATGTGTTTTATTTTTTTAATGTATGACATAATCCTTATTTAATAATTCAAATTTGTATTTTAAATTGCTAATGTATGCTTTCTTTTCCTATGTTAATATTATTTACCAAACTTACTATATACATCGATAGTTTGGGAATCATTCTAAAAAAGAAGACACAAAAACCACCGACTTCATATGCTAAGCAACTTTCATATTTTCATCCATAAAAAATCATCAGACTGATTTATATGTTAATTAAAAAATGGGAAAAAACAACAGACATATATGTAATAATTTTAAAATGCATAGATGAAGGCTCTGGAACTTTAACAGCTTATGATACTGTGTAGATGGCTGATAAAGTGGCTTACGATGCTGCATAGATGGCTGAGAAGGTGGCTGATATTGATACTGGCTTAAAGGTGACTGAGTGGAAAAGCATGACGATGCATTTAGCACAACGGATCTTGAAGAATCACAATCTTTATTTTTTTTACATATATCAAACCGCCTTTTGCAGAAAAGATGTTTCCTAATTATATTTGAATACAATAAATTCCATTTTGAAGTATGACCTCATCTTAAGCAAGTAAGCGGGAGCAGCATGGATGTAAAGCATCTTGCCAGCAGGACAGCTTATGCAGAAAAGGGAAGAGTGTCATAGTACTTCAGAGGAAGAAGGTTGGGAGTAGGAAAAGCTGCAGTTCCGAGTTTTGGTTTACAATTCATTTGATTGGACAAGAGGTATCCATATTAAAATGTTATGTAACATGTATCCATATTAAAATGTATCCATATTAAAATGTTATGTAACATGTAAATCTGGAACCAGGAGAAAAGATGAACCCAGGAGGAGATCACCAAATTTAGAATGTTAATTTTGAGGTCACCAATTATTTTTTTAAAAAACAGCTATCATATTTTGTTGTATCTTACATATATATATGACATAATAAAAGTAAGGAAAAAACGGAACACAGTTGATGATGCGTAATCAGCTAAGATAGATCGTCGATCCATATTGAAGAGGAAGAATTCTGATTGCATAGTATGCTGATATGTTGACTCGGTAATATCTAAAGAACTTGGCAGTCGACACTTTTAATTCCATTTTTATTTTCCAGTTGACTTTTGTGGCCACAATCACTTGGCACTCTAGTCATGCCTGTTCAAGAAAATTTACACTTTTGATATTTTTGAGATAGAAAGCAGGCTAGCGAAATTACATCCTAGCAGAGCAAAGAGCGAAGTTAAAGTGAATAGTTATGCAAGATGGAAGCAGACGAAGAGAAAAGTTTTGGTTTACGATGGTAGTTCAAGTTCCCAAATATTACGTCATCAGAGCTGCGCAGGCCATAGAATGATCTAGAAATGATGCAATCCAGAGACGTTATTACGATTTTTAAAACAGAAGGGAAGAATTAATGTTTTACCATTAGTTTAAATTATAATTTTAATTCACATATTTCAAGGTCATTCATTCACATAGTGTGTCAATCATCTGCAGACAGAATTTTGTTGTGCTTCGCTTTTCGTCTGTTATGTAATGAGGTGTCTTCAAGTGTGCCATGCTACCGTTAAATCTTCATGGTGTGTATAGTGTTTAAAAAGTGTCATCGAGTGTGACGTCACGTTTTCGTCTAGTGATGGGTGTGCCCATGAAAATTTTTCAGAAAAGTGTATTGTGATTCAGTATTGGTGCAAATTCATCGGGGGAAAAATTAAAAATTTATCACAGAGACAAGATCCCATACGAAATCTACAGAAAAAATTGAAATCATCTTTGATGGTTCTAATAATGATATTCCAATTGATAAATATCTGTTATTATTTGAAAAGAAATGTGATTAAAAAAATATTGAAGATAAGGACAAACCATTAATATTCTCCGAGTACCTGAGAGGAGAAGCACTCACATATTTCATTAGGGACTGTACAGATGAAGATTATGACACAGTAAAGGACAAATTTACTACATACTTTTCAACAGCAGACATAGTCACATTTAGTGACTTTGTAGCTATTACATATGATAAATTTCATAATATTGATAAGTATTTTCATGCAAAATTTCAATATGGATCTAAGTACGCATCAACAGTGTTTGTTCTTTTCCTTTTCTGTTATTATAGCATATATACATCATGGCACTCAGTGTGTTAAGAGATAAAAGATAATGCAACAAGGTGACTGGTCTGTTTAACATTTTCACTACACAAAAAAAGCAGATGGAATACACACTATAATAAATGCTAAATTTTCCGTGAAAAATTTCCATGGAAGTTCTAAAGTTTTAAACATGTTGTTTACTGTTTTGTCATTTGCTCAAGTGAATTATTTTTGTGATTGAAATAAAAGAGAGATTGATAATTTTGGTAACAGCAAATGCAGTGTTCAAGAGAACTTTCCAGTGTTGCTTCACTAATAGGAAAAAAGCCACCACCAGTATAACAATTCTAACACAAAATATAAGAGTATCAAACCAAGAAATACTTCATATAACTTTATTGACCTTCTCATTTCTCCACATGCTCATCTTATTATACATACCTGAGCTACAAGACTATGGATTTCATACAGTTACGCTGCACTATAGTTTACTATTTACATTATTCTTCACATTAATTTTACAACTTAACAGATTCAAAAAGCAATAACCTATTTCAGTGCAGAATGAAAATAATACCATAAACTGACATAATGAAATTAAGATATAAATAAAAGACTTATATGAATATTTAATTTGAAAATAATATTTTAGAATTTCATAAAAAATAGTAATATCTATAGCTTTTACTTGGGTAATTTTAAGACAGAGCTATTATGACAAATTCAAGCCAACTTTAATGCTTTAATGACTGACAAAATTAGGCTTTTATTTGACATTACTTTCAAACAAAAGATTCAATGCACTCTGAGTACAAATGCTGACAAAATTCAAACACATATTTTAAGTTAATACAAAATGAAAAACAAGCTTAATCAATTAAAAAATAACTGTCCACAAGAAAAATAACTTACAGCATGACGAGCAAGAAAATATGGACACCAACCATGTTTTTTTCCATATTCTTTTAAATCATCCTATTAATAAAATAATATGCAAATATATAATAATTTTAAGAAAAATTATTAACTAAGTTTTTTTAATATTCTCACAAGCTCATTAATTTTTTTAAATTTTATTATTAAATTTTTATGCTCAAATTTGCATACATTATATTTTAATATCTGCATAATGTAAAAATTTCTAATGATAATTTTTTACCAAATCAGTATCATCAACTATCACTTAATTTTCATAAAATCATCAAAAGGTAACCATTTTTATTGAAAAAACTAATAGTAATTATGTTTCTAAACAATATTCAAAATGCTAATACTACAAACAAGCTAATATATCCAGTTCCAGCTCTTCCAGTAAGACCTAACATCAGGAACATTTACCAGCCAAAATGTGATGAGTTTAGTTTTTGCATTAATCAGCATGTACCTTGTCAAATGTTTCAGCCTAGCAATATGAAAAGCAAATCAAATAGGAAGTGATACTTTAAGCCACTACACTGATGAAATATATACTACACTGTATTAAAATTTTCTTCATACATAAATAGACTTTTCCATTCAGCATTATAAAAATATAATATTGTAGTTTCAAAAAATCTGTGCTTATCTCCTGAATACCCAATATCCAATGGTAAGAAAAATTTGATTTTTATTGAAGATTTAAAATGCCACATTAAAAAAAATCTGAACTGAAGAATGGCCAAAGTTTTATGGAGAACTTTCTAGTAATATCCGCAGCAATACTGAAGTAAAATATACCTTCCCATATTCAAAAAACAGTGGAAAAAGTCTGTAGTATTCCATTCAAAGCACACAAGCAAAAGTTCAGAAAACAAAGCACTCAAAAACATATATGCAAATAGCAATGTTAGGCTATAAAAGTTTTAGAGTAAACATATGGGCTCTTCTTTGGATTCATAATGAAGTAAACAGAATTTACCCCACAAAGTGCCAAATGGCACCAAAATTTCTTAAAGTTCTTAAGGAAAAAATTTGTTAAAGTTCTCACAAAAGGAAAGGCATACTAGAAACTGTCAGTAATATTTTGAAATACATCACAAAATGTTTTGAAAGTTTCAGAAAATTTTGAAATAACTATCTTTAGATCTAGTAGTTATTAATAAGCAGATGAGATGCTTAACAGTTAGATCTTAATTTTATAAAAACACGCACACAAGAGTTTCAAACTTAATAAATATTTTTAAAAATTCCCAAGGATCAAAATACAAAGTATATAAAAATATTTACAAAAGTACAAAATAAATATTTGCATATATATAATGACTTAAAATACATAAATATTACTGAATAATTTTGTAAATTTGCAAGACTAATAATATTCTTCCCATGCAAAAAAAAAAAAAAAAGCATTAACTTTGAACTGTTAGATAATTTAATTTCTGAATTTATTTCTCATAGAAATATAGCAGCTATTATTAACCTACCACACTTCATATACATTCAGACTATTTCTAATAAAATCTCTAATAATTATCAGCCAGACATGAATAGTTAGTCCAACACTAGGCCAGCTGTTCTTTATAACAAAAACCTACATCAAATACAGCATCCTTACATTATTTGTACATGATATGCTGATTTTCCCCTTCAATAATATATCAAAACTGAAGAGCTAATATATCCAGTTCCAGCTCTGAAATTAACAACTGAATACAAAAATTACAAAGAACTCAAAATTTTTTCTCCGTACATATTAATATGAAATCTTAAACATCTAAATATTAATGCAAAAGGCAGAAAAGAATAATTGTGTATCATAACACTCAACTTCTTTCATTTAATATACAAAATTTTTTTTAGCTAAAACTTGGCAGCTAATAAAATTAGTAATGTTTCTCTTCATGTTTACTATCCTTTTTCATACATTATGATCTACTGGTCCCTTTCAAGCATTAAATGTCAAACATGAAATATAGTTTAGTAGGAGAAAGTTGTAAAATGCAAAAATACAGCATAGTGCAAAGTGAGCACTGAGAAAATTAACAGCCATTTAACAATAAAGTGTAATCCAGATGTGTTTAATAATAAGAAAATATAATTCTATGAAAATCATATTCCATAAATAAATATTCAATTAAATTAATATCTAGATTTCACATGTGTTAAAATAAGTATAAGACAGAAAATATAAAAAAAGCTTTAACACTTTGTACATGTGCCCTTTTACTGACAATTACAGCAACATTAACAAAAAATAAAAACCAAACATGCAATCTTACTAAGTCATAAACTCCAGCTGGTAAAGGAAACTCACGTCCATTCCTATCAAAGGCCTAAAATTCAAGTAAATAAATTAGCAAAGTAATCTAATAATTATAAAAGATGAACAGTGAACCCTCTCATGGTGATCACCTCCCAAAGGCAATCACTTCTGAATGTGACCAGTACTGTCTGAGAAAATAAATATGGTTATCATAATAATTACATTATCATTCTCTAAGATAATCACTTTGAATCCAGGTAAGTTGTGTATATTTTACTCAAATTTCTAATCATTTTTTAGAATATTTAAGAAATTTTTTCCTTCCTTAAGGTATTTTCTCCCTCCTTCTGCATGCCTTTGTGGTATAACGGTAGCACACTCAGCGTGCATTCAAGAAGTCCATTTTTAAGTCCCGGCAGGAGCATTGCTCATTTTTCACATCTCCTGCATTAAAACAAGCTTATGACTCTAAAAGCTCCCCCGAATTTTAAAATGGATTCATCCACATCATGGTTGTGTTTATCTTACTAACTGATTTACTCAGAGGTTTTGGTGCATGGACTCTGAGTGATGAAGCAATTACAGGGAAAATATATCTAATGCTCTTAATGATACTGAAAATCACCATATGAGGTAAGACAGACTGAAATGTGATGGCGACAATAACTCAGCTGTAACAGACAATACAGTTCAGCAGCACTTTTGATATGAGGCTTAGGAAGTAGTTATGGATAACAAAAAATGGACAAAGCTCAATATATAGGGACATAGAAAATAAGACATTTCATCAGATATTGTAATGCTAACATTACTATGCATTCTTGTTGGCATGTAGATTTCTTTTAAAGAAATAATGTGATAGTTATCGGCAGTTTATTCATGAATACTTTACATTTATTATGTTCTTACTGTAATCACATCCTTATAGAACTTAAAGCGATTATTATTAAAATGATAATCACTTTAATTTCTGTAAGGATTATAATTAAAATAATAATCTCTTTCTTAAAAAATTTTCTCTCTTGACTTTTGTATAACAATATTAGTAAAAAAGGGGGGAGATTCCTGAGTAATACAGTATCAAAAAGTTATATTTGTAGTTCTTCCAATAACAACAAAACTACTTTTATGGCTAAATGGTAACTGATTTTTGGTGAATCTAAAATTTTATCATTTGATGCAATTCATCACATAGACTGGATTTGATAGTTATGATAAAGCAGTCTTTATATGACTTAACATATTCCTAAAAATTTTTTTAATTCCTGTTTTGTACATCTGGAAATGGATTTACAGATCAGGTTTTCAAGTGAGGCAAAGACAACTTATTACTGTGTTTGATAAAACAGAAAATGATCATGTTTAATTCTAACTTGATAATTTTAGCATATGTATACATCTTTAAGACTTCAAAGAAAGAAGTTCTTGAAATGCTTACTAGTGACACTACTTTCGAGTAGAAACATTTTGAGTAGAAAACATTTTGATGGAGGAAGATGATGAAAAAATATACCTAGTCCCTTAACTGATGTTCTAAATTTTGTACACATTTAGGTCATAATATAGGAAATAACAAGATTGTTGATTACTTTATGTAGTTCAGATGTGGTTTATTAAGTTTAAATTTTAGAAACGAAAATTCATAGTGAAATCAAAAAAATCCATTGGATGAATATTTAAATGAGCAATACATGTTACTGAAATCACCATACAAAATATACAGTGGTAAAATTTTAATAATTTCTACCCCTTACTGATAAGATTTTAGGAATTTTTGAGTCCAGTTTAACATTTAAAAATATTCTTCACTTATATTATTTAAGGAAATTAAACAATAATTTTTCTAAATTTCGTTTTATTGCTATTTTATTCAATACTTATTATTACAATTATTTTTAAATTTCATTAATAAATCTACATACCATACTTCTTTTTCAGTATTTTTCTTTAAAAAAATATCAATAGCCTTGAATAGAATAAAACCATTTGCAAATTAATAACTGCCATCACTATTCCTCTTCTTTACAATGACTATCTTTGCAGAAGAGCTAAATCATATGGAACTATAAGTGATCATCTCAGAAAAGGTCCACTGTATTTTAAAATATAATACAGAAAATAATTATGACACAATATTATACATACTTCGAAATAGGCACAAATATCAACATTTGGATCTACAGCGGCCATGCTACGTTTATGAGAAGCAGTAAGAGCAAAACATTTTCCATCAACGATTCTACCATCTTTTTCTTTGCTCACCTGAAAATTTCATATTATCCGTCATCAAACCTTTTGAATTAAAGTATTCAAGAATGAAAAGTTAAAAAAAAAAAAAAAAGTTTTGACATTTTTTGATTTATTAACTGCACATTTTAAAAAATGGTATCCTAAATTATAACTGAATATTCTTCTTCTAAAATGCAAGGTAAGTAGAATTTTGATATTTTATGCATTTCTGAAATACTAATGAAATTCTTAAAAAGCAAATATTTATCAAATCTAATTTTTTTAAGATGTCAAGTAACAGCGAAATACACATACAATTTTAAATAAATCAAATATGCATTTTGTTTGAAAAATCGAACAGATTATGACCAAAAATTTGAGGCAAGCATCATAATCAAGAAAAAAACATTGCAAGTCAAGAATCAATACAGTGCCGATATATATTTTAATCAATACACTGCTGATATATACAGTGGCTCCCAAAAATGTTTGTACGGTTAGTATTTTCATTGAAATAGGGCTCTATCCATTAATTAAAAGTAAACTTCCTGAATGAGATTTTAATAAGATCTATAATCTATTCGTAACAAAATTACATGAAATATTTTTAAAATATAGAGAAACTTTATTTTTAAGAAATTAATAATCAAAAATGACAAACATTTTATCTCGCAAAAATCTTCGTACGCTGAAATATTTTTGGATAAAATCAAAATTAGAATTATCGTTTGCCGCTTTTATTAATTTTTGCATTGTGGTGGCATTTAAAAAATTTTTTGCTTTAATTTTTTATTATTACTTCATAATATTCTATTTATTATTGAAAAATGGGTCGCAGTCATAAAGAAATTACAAACAGCATTCAAAAATTGATAATGTTTCACCATAGTAGTAGTAAATCAATTCTAAATATCTCTAAATTAGTTAATTTATCCCATTCTACAGTGCAGTATGTGATAAAAACGCTTTAAAAAAGAAAATCAGATTGAAAAAAAGGTAAGAAAAGGTCAACCGAGAAAGTTAACTAAACGTGATAAGAGATTTATTATTAGAAAATTTGCAAAAAACCCACATTTGAGTGCTGTAAACGTTTGTGTAGAATTTAATGCAAAGTTTTCTACTTCAATTTCACCTGAAACTGTTCGACGAGTTATCAGAGAAGCTGGATTAAATGGGCATTCTGCCCGTAAAAATTTTTTGTTAGTGAGAAAAACAGAAAGCTTAGGCTTTCGTTCGCAAAATCAATAATAAATACACCCGAAAGGTACTGGAATAATGTCCTATTTGCTGATGAAAGCAAAATTAATATTTTTGGTTCCAATGGTCAAACAACCGTATGGAGAAGAAAAAATGAGGAACTTTATTCTAAGAACTTAGTTAGAATAGTTAAGCATGGCAGTGGAGGTGTTCTTGTGTTGGGGGGTGCATGGCAGCATCAGGACTACGTAATTTGGTATTTATTGATGGCATAATGAATCATTCTCTTTATTTAAATATTTTAAGAGACAATTTAAAATTATCAGCCCAAATTTTGGGTATTGGAAACAACTTTATTTTTAATCATGATAACGATTTTAAGCATACTGCTCTCAGTGTTTGCCTGTGGTGTCTCTATAATTGTCCACAGATTTTGAAAATACCACCTCAGTCACCAGATTTAAGCCCCATAGAACACATCTGGAAAGAACTGAAGGTTAGATACCGGAAACACGACATCAAAACAAAAAGCGAACTCAAAACAGTCATGATGGAAGAATGGATGAACATTGATACAGTAATTATAAAAAAAACTAGTAAAATCTATTTACAGACGTTTAAAAGCTGTTGTGGATGCTAAAGGATATCCTACTAAATATTAATTTAATGAAAAATGAAAATATTTACTATTATGTCAAGATTTTTTTGAAGTGTACGAAGACTTTTGTGAGATAAAACGTTTGTCATTTTTTGATTATTAATTTCTTTAAAATAAAGTTTCGCTATATTTTAAAAATATTTCATGTAGTTTTGTTATGAATAGATCATAGATCTTATTAAAATCTCATTCAGAAAGTTTACTTTTAATTAATGGATAGAGCCACTTATGGATAAACCATAAGTGCATGAAAACTTTGGGGAGTCATTGTATATCTTACCTAAATGATTTCTCAAACACTATCCAAATTTCATGACTGTGATTAAAAAATTATTTTATTTCACAAATTTATTCAACTTATTGCACACCTCTTTTAAAATCCTACAATACTTATTCTTTCTAGATTGTAGATAAAATGCATGATTTCTTCTTTCTAACATCATTTATCATTGGAAAGTTAACAGCAAATCTTTTAATAATACTGATTATAAGTATTTAACAAAATAAATAATTAAAATTAAAAATCTGACGTGTACAACATATGACTTCCTTAAACGGAATATTAAATTATATACATTTTTTTCTGCATTTCATTTTAACTTAGTTCCTCGAATTTCATTAGAGATATATTTCTCATTCTATTAATTCAGTTCTCACTTCGCAGCAAGGCAAAAATACATAAAAATTCAAAACACCTTCAGTAAAAATTGAAAAATATAGAAAAACAGCATCAAATAGAGTTAAACAGTAAAAAAAAAAAAAAAAAAAAAAAAATTAAATTAAAATTAGAGTTTCTACACAAAAACTAGCAATTTGGCCAGTGGGCAAGAAGGCAGATACTTTTGGACACTCTCAGCAGAGAGACACTGAAGGTGTAGAAACTGATTTCATTCACTATTTTGCTAAGTTTCAAATGTAAACAATGGATGCTTCATTAAGCAAAGTCGCACTTTAACAACTTTCAAATTGTTGACAATTCTACAACTATTGCATGCAAATTAAAGGCATAAAAACCTTAACCGTAACATAAGAACAACATAATTCAATCACTTTTAAAGCAAACAATGCTTGATTTACCACCATATAAGAATAAAAAATCTGAGCTCACCGAACCGAGTAACAGTACTTTTCCCTGCATTTCATTTAAACTTATTTCCTCGAATTTCATTAGAGGCATATTTCTCAGTCGATTAATTCAGTTCTCACTTCGCAGTTAGGCAAAAGTATATAAAAACTCAAAATATCTCCATTAAAAATCAGAAGATATAGAAAAACATAAAACACCAAATACTGTTAAACAATTAAAATAATTTTTACAATTAACACTACAGTTTCTATGCAAAAATAAGCAATTTAGCCAGCAGGTAAGAAGGCTGATTTTTCAGTCAACAAAACTAAAGGTTTTTGTTTAGGTCCCAACTGGCAATAAGACACTGGAAGGTGCAGAAAGATTTAATTCACTATTTTGCTAAGTCTCAAATGTAAACAAATATAGCTGCTATGAATTCTACAACTGTTGCATGCATATTAACTAAAGGCATGCAAACCTTAACTAGAAGATAAGAAAAACATTATTCAAACATTTTTAAAGCAAAAAATGCACAATTTACCAATATGCAAGAACAAAAACCTGAGCTTACTGAGCCGAGTAACAAAATGGGTATATTTATATATACACATATTTATATATGTGTATATATAATACTCTTGGTGTGGCCAATTGCAACCAAAAACAGATGTGCACAGCTACATGTTATAGCAGTCTTATATTAATAATTTCAATGTTCTGATGCTACTCGTTTTTGAGTTATGTGAGATAGACACATATGTACAAACAGACACTATGAAAAACATCTCTTCTGAATCCATTTTAAATCTGTTTTATAATTTGCTTGGGGAAAAAGAGTCCTTTATTCTGTTCTTACCTACAAATGTCATGCAAAAACATCATTAACCTCTTAGTTGTCCATAAAACCCTTATCAGATACAATATTTGTTGCCGGAACAAAACGTTTGGTGGAACAGTTCTGAGAAACGCTCTTTGGCGAAATAGGGTTACCATCTTCACTTGATAAACAGCCTGAATGCCAAACAAGAATCAGTTATCGCTCAGACTGGTGAAAGTGAAGTTTCCTTTCAAGTGACGTTTCCTTTCAAGTGACGTTTCCTTTTAAGTGACGTTTGCTTTTTCGTGTTGTTTTGTATCGCTCAAACTCTCTTCGTTTTAAACTTTATTTTTAGTAATGGAACATAATAGAAAGGTGATTGCTATCAAGTTAATCACTTTGATCTCCACTCTGGCACTTCAAGTAACAGATAAACACACTTCTCGTTATAGCAATCAATTACATCAGTAATAGCCAAATTCTGTATACACTAAGAATAGTTTAAAACGTGTGCTGGATAAGTCTATTTATCAGACATTACTTATGTGTATTTTCTGTTGTCTGGATTCCAATGAAAATTTGATGGCTCACTGGAAAATTTGTGACCTGGTAAAAGCATTTTTTTTACTAACTTTATGGCTTATAATTACTGTTTCGTCCATTCAAATAAACAGACAAAAAAAAAAAAAAAAAAGGCTTAGCCACACTTAAACAACTTTAAAATTGTTGATAATTCTAAAACTGTTGCATGCGGATTAACTAAAGGCATAAAAACCTTAACCAGAAGATATAAAAAACATTATTCAAACATTTTTAAAGCAAAAAATGCACAATTTATCAACATGTAAGAACAAAAACCTGAGCTTACTGAGCCGAGTAACAAAATGGGTATATTTATATATACACATATTTATATATGTGTATATATAATGCTTTTGGTGTGGCCAATTGCAACCAAAAACAGATGTGCACAGCTACATGTTATAGCAGTCTTATATAAAAAATTTCAATGTTCTGAGGCTACTCGTTTTTGAGTTATGTGAGATAGACACATATGTACAAACAGACACTATGAAAAACATCTCTTCTGAATCAATTTTAAATCTGTTTTATAATTCGCTTGGGGAAAAAGAGTCCTTTATTCTGTTCTTACCTACAAATGTCATGCAAAAACATCATTAACCTCTTCGTCGTTCATAAAACCCTTATCACATACGATATTAGAAAACGTCACTTTCACCAATTCCTTTCAACTTTTCGTGTTGTTTTGTATCGCTCACACTCTTTTCGTT